TACATTAATAATATAATATAATATAATATAATATAATATAATATACCAAACAAAAAGCATGTTTCCCATCTGAAACACTACAGATCATTCTCTCAGTGTTGAAGTACTGCTTCCACCATATTTTACATTTTGAGTTCTCCTGCAGTTTGAGACTGACCTCCTGCATCACATCTGATGCCTGTTCTCCTTTTGGTGTTTTCAACCCCCAACCAGCAATGTAGCATTTAACATTAGCTGGTGTTTTCCCATTTTTCTTAGGAAGAGACATAACTTTCACAAACTTATTCAGCTTGGCTTTGTTCTTCAGCTGCAAATAGCAAAATAATTTATAGAGAGCAAACAAAGAGCATAATATAGAGTGACAGGTGAAGGTGAAAATACCTTTATTAACAGTTTATCATAGCTGCAGTCCTCTTTCTTGTTCCGTTCAAACATAGGATGTTGGATGTATTTAATCACTGGGATTCTCTGCTGGCTCTTCTCCTTCTTGTTGATGTTGTAAGCTCCCAGAACAACCTCAAAGTGGTCTCGACTAGAGAAGTCACTGCGACTGTGGAAAAAATTTAAAACTGTTTAAAGAAGGTATTTTGGTCTAAATGTATTTGAATAACTAAACACAGATTTACACATAAAATAAAAGTCTCAAGGCTACAACAGGGCTTTTTGAAAAGCATCATAAATAATGCAGCCAGAGACATACTCACTTCAAACAGTGGGCTGCTGTCAGTACATAATCCTGTCTGATCAGTATTCCTCCACATGTGTGATGATTTATGTACTGAATAGATGCCATGTAAGGCCTGGAATGATGTTTAGCCTCTTTTCCTCCAATAATACCACTCTCCATGCCACCTGTGACAATAACCAAACTTACACCATTACCAGATTAAGGAGAAATTGGGATTTTAGGGGTGCAAGCACCAAAGGTGCTGGAATCTGTGTTTGTATAGATTTTCGCATTCTTTTTCCTTATTGTTCTGCCTTGAAAGTATGTGGGCGCACGCGCACACACACACACACACACACACACACACACACACACACACATACATATATACATATATATATGTGTGTGTGTGTGTGAGTGTGTATATATGTATATACTGTACATTTACATTTAGACATTTAGCATACGCTTTAATCCAAAGCGATTTACAAATGAGGTCAATGGAAGCAATCAAAATCAACAAAAGGGCAATGATATGCAAGTGCTATAACAAGTCTCAGTTAGCTTAATGCCGTACACATTTTCAAAGACTTCCTAGGTCGCTGGTTTGATCTTCACCAAAATAGGCACAGCAACTAGGGACAGTGTTGGCAAAAAGGGA